CAAGGTTTGGAATCATCTATTGAGGGAGAGTCATCAGTTGCTTCACCAGAGGACAACATTTACTTGCACAGTTATTGACAGCAAAGAAATTAATCAAAACTGGGGGTTCCCTTGGGTAAATTTCAGCCTTTGTAACCATGAAAGTTTGGGAAATAGAGTGCAAATGCCTTTAGTCAAAATATCTGTCTTGCTACTTCATCCTTCATATTACTGCCTACATTTTTCCTTTTCTTCTTTTTATTGTGGAAAATTGCCTTGTAGGCAACCTCAATCAATTGGAAACAATCCCAGAAGTAATATCTTAAAAAGAGAAAATAGACCCTTTATCAGAACTTTATCCCTATGTTTTTCTTACTTAAAAATATGTTTACTAGTGAATGATCTACTATACTCTAAATGATTAGGATTTTGCTGCCAATTTTGAATTTTTGTTCATCTAAATGTGTTTCTTCTTACTTCATTTTTGTTTTATAGGTGGCTGACTGTTCTTGGGATGAAATGATAAAGATATATGATCCTGTTTGTCTTACTGTTCCTGCTTGAAATACACTGTTCTTGTCAGAAACAGAGAATGCTGGCTAAAGAACTACATAACAGCAAATAAATAAACTGTTGAAAACATAGACATTATGCATTTATGTGCTATTCAGATTTCAAGTTTTTGAAATTTACCCTGGAATCAGTTTTGAGGCAGCTGATAAAGACTTTGGCTCACTCTTTAAGTCTGGTACATAAGCCATATTTCTTAAAATCCTAAGGAGTAATTAATGTTATGGTATATCTCATAATATCTATTAAAATGTAGTCTCTGTTGTAAAATATATTAAAATATGAGAAATCTATAGATTATATTCACAGTGATATATTTCATTTTTAATTTATTTCATTTTGATGTAAAATATAATACTGCTGTTGATAAAAATCAAAATAAACTCCATCTCTTGACCATTTATCATTTATGACATTGCCAACAAGGCTGCTTTTTCTACAACATTACATATGTGAATACAACTATATATAACTATATATGTAGATATATCTATGGTTCAATAACAGGTATCAGATATATCTCTAATGTAGATTTAATTTATTCATTTATTTAGTGGTTATTTATTGAGCATCTACCATGTGCCTGACACATAGACTGAATGAGATTCTCTCGACAACTGGTGCCATGCTTTAAGAACATGGAATGCTCTGAGTTAAGAGCTCACATTTTTTTACATTTATTCAAATCGTAGATATTGTACCCATGACTCTTTATTCTCTCTTCCCACTTCTCTACTATCAAAAAATTTTAAAACCCCATTGAGCAAAAAGTCTTAGGTCCTACTACAGCTTCTAGCTCTTGTCCATGAAACTAGCCATAAGTAATGCTATAAACTCTCTTAGCTGTCTCCCTAAGTCTCCTTGAAAAATCTCTAGGTGCTGATGAACTGAAAAAATAAAAATAAAAAAGGTTCACTGAGGGTGGTAGCTCACATGGCAAGAGGATCACTTGAGACCAGAAGTTTGAGACCAGCCTGGGCAACATAGCAAGACCCCACCTCTACAAAAAATAGAAAAATTAGGCGTGATGGCTCACATCTGTAGTCCTAGGTACTTAGGAGGCTGAGGCAGGAGGATTGCTTGAGCCCAGGAGTTCAAGGCTGCAGACAGCTATGATGGCACCACTGTACTCCAGCTTGGGCAACAGTGGAGACCCTGTCACAAAAAAATTAGGTTAAATGGGAAAAATTAATAAACTACTTTGCATAAAATTTGTATTTTATATAACATTAAAATGTGTTATAAATGGCAAAAATTACAAATTCTTAAGTTTTCTAGAATGTTTAAAGAACAAAATATATTTGTAATAATCACAGTAAAAATAAACTAAAATATAGGTGTATTGTCTTACTCATATATGTCTTTGTTACTTGTTCTGGAAAAAAATTAAGACAGCTTAACATATAAAACAAGAGAGCATAAATTAAAAGGTAGAACAAAAGACATAAAGTGGAGCCAGGAGTGGGGCTTGAAAGCACATACCTCAGAGTCCTATAAAGTTGGTTACTAAGTGGGTTGAAGATTTGCTACTAAGGTTTCTAGCCTCCTAAATGGGAAATCTGGCGAGTTACACGATTCAGTGCCTGTGGTCTGGAGGGCACAGACTCTCTTCTAGTGCCAGGCTTGGCCCTTGCATCACGCCTGGCACACAGAAGGTGCTTGATAGATACTTGTTAAATGAATGAATCTCAGGGAAGGTACAACTCTTTTGGTTCTTAGATCAGCAATACTGTTTTCAAGAGGCCCCCTAAAGAGGACACTGCTCAACATAAATGATTTATTGTAATGAACAAGGTGTTCAGCTACATCTTTAGAACTGTCACAATGATTAGTTTCACAGAACTTTTTCTTGTTACTTTCTTCCATTCGATCCAATGCATCACACCAAGGTGCAGTTCAATAAAAGCAGGTCCACAGCGGGTGTTCTCTGTATCAGCAGAAGTTATAATAGACCTTTAAAATACCCAAACCAGATCATACTTAAAATGAAATGAAATTTTTCCCTTTAGAATGAAGGAGATTTTAACAGAATAATCTGTCTTTGGAGCTACAATTGGAAAACTGTAAGGAGCAGAGCTCTCCTGAAAGAATGTGCAAGATTTTTTAATTCTTGGTAGCTCACAAGTTAAGCAGCTTCTGGACTTTGGAGGACAACCAGTCATTCCTTCTGGTTTAGGAAATCAGTATTTGTCTCCTGGCTACCGAGCTCTTAGCTTTCTCTTTGCTTTTGTCCTGCCTGCCTCCCCAAGCTCCTGCACCTGCAGTGACTGAACAGCACTCAAGTGTAGATGAAGGAGGCTGGGCGTGGTGGCTCACTCCTGTAATCCTAGCACTCTGGAAGGCTGAGGAAGGAGGATCCCTTGAGCTCATGAGTTTGAAACCAGCTGGAGCAAGAGTGAGACCCCGTCCCTACTAAAAATACAAAAATTAGCCAGGTGTGGTGCACACCTGTAATCCCAGCTACTCGGGAGGCTGAGGCAGGAGAATCGCTTGAGCCCAGGAGTTTGAGGTTGCTGTGAGCTTAGGCCGATGCCATGGCACTCAGGTGATAGAGCAAGACTCCAAGAGTAGATGAAGGAAGAGGGAACTCACAATCACTGATCTGGGATGAGGGCACTATGTGAGATGCTTTATATATATATTATCCCTTTTAATCTTTATAACATCTCTGCAAGGTGGCCCTCCCTGTTTTCCAGACAAAGAAGCCAAGGTTCTCAGTAGTTTTGATAGCCAGAAAATAATGAAACTGGAATTTGAAGGCTGGAATGACTGACTCCAAACCCATGGTCCTGCTACGTAGCCTCTTTTTCTTAGGAATAACAGAAATTGGCTCACTGAGAAATAGTCGAGAAGTGGATCTCTGGTTACTAGATCCTTATCATTCCTGAGAGAAGTGACAAAATTGAGTTTCCAAGTCTAAAGAGGTAAGAAGCTACCTCTTGAGTCTGGGTTGACCCTACCAACATCCATTATGCCCAGGGAGATCCAGGCTGAGAGCCAGCTGTCCCTTCTGCCTTTGGCTGGCACTTCTTAACTGTATATCTTAGCAATAATTTGCCTCTTCCAAAAATGAACTCTCATTAATTTCTAGCTTACCAGGCCTCTCCTTGGATGTGCTAATCCAGTTTTTCACTTTCATACATATACTGAATACCCCCATATCTGTACCTCCTGCCTTCCCCACCTGGGTTTCCCACAAGCCTTGGCACTCATTTTGTTCCAGGAGCCAGATCACCAGTGACCACCTTGAAGGCTGATTATCACAATATGCTTTTTTTAAAGTAGCAAATTATAGACAAATGTGTATGATATCCTAATTTTATATTTTAAAAGGGGGGAGTTCATGTGTGTATAAATATATATACAAAAAAGATTGAGAGGTTCTACACCAAACAGCAAGCTCTGTGTGGTGGGTTTGGGGATGGTGAACATTGAAGATAGCTTATTCACTTATATATAAAGTGTATTTTCCTTTTATGTACTACAATGATCATGTGTTACTTTTACAATGAAAAAATGATGAAGTAAATAAAAATTTCAAAAAGACCATATCTCCTTCTCCACGAAGCCTTCTCTGCCATCCCTCTCAAGCTGATTTACTTGCCCTCCTGGGCACTCCCCTGTTTCCTGCCACAAGACCCCACTGTTGCATTGGCATTAGCTTCATTGCGTTCCCTCACGCCCACCTGTGAATCCCTAAGGACTGAGGTGAGTCTTTGTGTCCTTTGTGTCCTCTGTGGCTAAGGGACTACCTAGCACAAAATAGTTGCTGTATATGTTTGTTGAATGAATGAACTAAAGGACTCAGTTAATGCCATTAATATTTATTGAGTAGCTCCAGAGATAATGAGCTTGAGTACCTTGGTACCTTGATACCAACAGGTCAAATAGCTAGTTGATGTTCAGATCTACATTCTTGTTCAATTTAACCTTGCTAAACATAGTATTCTCATTTTTTCCCAGTTTTCTTGAGGAGCTTATCTAGTAACTGGTTTTGTGGGAGATGGAGTTAAGATTTCTTTTTTTAAAAAAGCCGTAACAGAAAAGAATTATATGCAATAAAGTGGAGAAAATGTGCTCTGTTTCATGCCACCGTGGGTTTCAAATATTAAGCTAAATTGTCTTTCCTAAATGAGAAGGGTAAGAGAGCTGAATCAGCCCCAAATCTTTTACCTAACGTTAATATCACAAATGGAAGCAATTATAATTGCGAGGCAGAAATGAATCATTCCAAAAGTAGGTCTGTGCAGCCACTTCTTTATAATATTCGCTTAGGATGGCTTAAAGCAGCCATCTTTTAATTGGAATGGTCCCTAGAAGCAGAAATCTGTAATTTGCTGATGTCTTTAAAAAGTTATTTTTCAAAGTTTTTAATCTGAATATATTTTGGGTATACATTTACACCACACACATACACACAATGTGAACTGCTGCCTCAGACTTCATTATTTCCCAAAGGAATAACATCAACTCTTGAAAAACAGTCCCTTAAACAGCCCATAGAGTGTAACCGCAACTTTTAGCAACAAAAACCCAGAAGCTCCCGAGGGAACCGGAAGCACGTGTTTTCAGCGGAACGCTTTCCAGTGTTATTCCTGGAAAGTTGGCACAGTTGGCCATTCACAAACACTTTCCTGAGTGCCCCCCTGTCGGGAACAGGGAGGTGGCTCCACTAGGCGCTCACGCATGAGCTGGTGGACCGGTTGAGACCGAGCTCCCCCACCAAGGTGAGCACTCACGACACAAACAGCTGGCCCAAATGAAGGGCTGCAGTGATACCGCCGATCCCTGATGTATTTTTTCCCCCTGCCGCGGTAAGAATAATCACAATTTCACCACCTGAGCTGAAGTGTCGAGCTCAGCGCAGAGGTGGAACAGGCAAAAAACACAAGAATCGCGAGAGACGAGGATCCCACGTATTAAGGCAATGTGGTGCAGCGTTTAAAGGCGAGGAGTTGCGAGCCCCGTGGCTAAGAGAAGTGAGCGGCCGGGCGGGCAGTGAACGAAAGCGGTGGCGGAGCGCAGCAATCTCGAACTCTGTCCTCCCAGCCCAACCCTAGCCAAGGCCACAAAT